TGTCTAACCATTCTCTTCCACTTTTCACATCTCTTTCCTCTCCTTCCCATTACTACTCCTTTAATTGCTCTTAGCCTTGGCTGAGACTAACCTCCAATCTATTCACTTCTTATAAGCTTTCTACCAGCCACATTGGATCCATATGTAGACTTGAAGGTCTCGTAGTAGGGTCCGATTGCACCCTCGAGATGTATCTGTGTAACGTGCCCTTTATCTGTTTCAACTTCACTATCTTCTCAATCAGCCAAACTTGCCGGCCACTGATCATTGCCACCCGTGCTTAAGTAGTTTTAAGTCCCAAACATAAACCTTATCCTCCATGGCTGCCCAACCCCACTTCATTATACTTTCTTGGACACCATTTTTCTCCTTTTATGTGAGATAGATGAATTTAGAACCTGAACTTTCTAGGGACCCCACCCGTGACCCAATGGCATGTAAACAAGATCATCAATGGTTCAAGGTCGCATTAGAGGAGTCAAGAGCATTGAGACATAGTAGTTAAAGAGCATTAAGACATAGCAGTTACAACGTCGTGGAATGGTATCAAGCGACACAAGCAAAATGCCAAATGGTTGAACATGACAATAATTTCATGTTACACTGCGATGTTGAGGAGCGATATCGACCCAATGATGATAACTTGGACAAAAAAAGGCTTGACTTGGAGATGTCACAAATGGCTTAGACCTAGTCATGAAAGACTTATGAATTACACGAAATATGGAACAATATTAAACTGTAAGGTGTCAGACCGTATACAACTCAGTCGAGTCATATTGATACCGGTCGATATTATTTTTCCAAGTTATCTATGAGATTTTAACCGAGGGTCCATTCCATGTGCGTAACCATGCCCCACTGCCCTACTCCACTTCATTATCCTTTCTTGGACACCTTTTTTCTTCTTCTTTTGTGTTAGAAAGGTATTGAAGTCCATAAACTTTTGGGAGACCCCAGCAGCAGTCGCCCCATGAATGCAACCTTGGTTTAAGGTCATTGCATCAGAGTCGAGAGAGCACTAACACACATCACTTATTATGTCACGAAATGGTATTGAGTGATTCTCACAAAATACTAAATAAAAGAAGTTGTTGAACATGACATATGATTCACACCTTATCGTAGTGTCGTGAAACAACTATGACGATAAGGGCTCAGGCCACTTGGGATTAACTTGAAGGATGTCTCGGATGATTCAGTACATGAAACACTGTGATATTCCGTTCCACGATATTCGAACAGAAAATGCCAAGTCAGATAGACACATACGGCTTGGTATTGATCTATACTTTAAACCTTCTTCCAATGTTATCTATTAAGATTTTAATTAATCAAGGGTCCATTCCATCTGTGTTACCCATGCCCCCACTGCCTTGTTAAAGAATGGCAGGGAAGATTACTTCATACCTTATCTTAAAAGCAGAAGAATCATTTATAATAAATTGTGTTGTATAAATCGTGTACATTTTGTATATAAACGAGTTGTGTCATTCATTTTTTTTAATTAATTTCACTAATATTTGATTTATTTATTAATTATGTCATATCGGATCCTTTCATTTACGAAATAGGTAACTTAAATATTTTAATTTTGTGTTGTATTAATGTAATTTTGACACCATTAATTCATATGATATACATGTAATAATTAAGAATATGAAATTAGCCATTAATTTAGAAGGAATACAAATTTTAAAACCCAAATCTAACGTGTTTAATTTTATAATATAAGAAATGAATGGATACAAATTCCTTCCATATCATTTTAACCCAACTATATCAGCTGGATTAGATACACTGTCAAATCACAAGGTATTCTCTTAATTTCAATATATCTGACAAATTATACTTTTAATCCTTTAATTATGGACTTGATTTTATTTTATCGCTTAAATTTGAATTAATCCACATTTCTTCAAATGCAAAGCAAATATGCCCTATATTTTTTGAAAAAAATTAACAATGGATCGGTACAAAATAAAAAAAAATTGTATAATTCAAAGGGTAAAATAAAATAATATTTCTTCAATTTTGTAACCGACTTTAATAATTAGAATCTTAGGCTTAAAAGGACATGTTCTTCAATTATACAACTAAAAAAAAAAATTCTGTAAAACACTAATATGCAGGTTAAATTTAGGTAAAAACATATATATAAGTGACCTCAAAGGAGGGTAATAAGGATGAAAATGAGAAGAGCAGCAATGAAGGAATACTTGAGAGCAGCAAGCAAAATAGCCAATGATATGAAGAAGAGCTGCCCCAACACTTGCAAACTTGCCCAAGCAAGAACACCCGTCAATCCAACGGCTAGGATGTTATCTGGGTCTGGGTCCAACAACAGATTGACCCACTTTAGATTGAATCTGGGCCCTCCATTTCCCTCTTCCTTCTTCACATCTTCTTCTCTGCCACCGTTATTAACGTTGAACCCATTCTCTCTTTTTTCTCTTTCCTCCGTATCTGTGTTCACACCCCCATTACTATTATTGCCCTTACCATTCTCTGCATGGGTCGATAATTTTCTAGGGTTCTGTTGCAATCGAGATTTGAAGGGTAAAGATGGCAAGTTTAGGGTGCGAATGATTGTAAGGGACCTGGAAATCGATGGGTTTGGGGATGAAATTGATAAAGATGGGTGTATGACAGAATTGAACCCTAACATGTTTTCTTGCTTAATGACTTCCTTCCGAGAGAGAGAAGAGAGGATGGCCGTCGCTTTGTTTCTTTTTTGCCCTTTTACGCCTGTTTTTCTCTTTGATAAACTACATATATGCCCCCTAAACTTGCACACGCATTTTAATTTGTCTCCTCTATCTTCAAAATTTAAAATGGCTGCTTAAAGTTTTTATTTTATGACCTGTTGTCTAAGTTTTTTTAGACACTATTATCACAAGGAGGGGATAATGAGGTTCCAATTTATAATGGATAATTTGGAAGTCGGTACAAAAATTTAGACTTATTTAAGTTAAACTATATCAAATAAACTTATTTGATTTTAAATGCATTTTTTAAAAAAATAACTAAAAGGGCATTTATTACTTAATTTCTCTCTTTCTCTCTCTGTTACTCTTTTACTCTCTCTTTCCTATTTTCTTTTTATCTATCTATCTCCATCTCTTTCTCTCACATTGATTATTTAATTTTTTTTAAATATGTAAATATTTAATTTAATTT